TTAGCAACTTTTCACATACTCTCACTTATCTTTTGCTTATTACAGCTATTTACTGTCATTCACATATAGATTACGTGGGGTGTGGGGAAGTGGCTACTTGCGCTGGCTTCTCGATTTCCAGGATAAAATGTAAGTACGCCCAGCTATACCGGTTCCCGCACTTCTTCAGGACTGTTGATTGACCCTTTGACGACAATGGCACCCACCGGTGGGTGCCACTATGTTCGTCGCGTGGGACAATGGCACCCAATGGTGGGTGCCACCTTAAAATTTTCCTTCTTTGCGCATTCAAAACATTTTTAACGTTCCAATAATTATAACAAGCTTCATAACATCTACTGTTAGCATGGTTTACAGAAATATGCAAAAAGCAGATTTACATAAAATTTCAGAATGTGGCACCTAGCTACCCGGCATACTAAATGCCCCCCCCCCCCCCCCAAGCTGTGTAAATACCCCCAGCTATCATAGAACTGCCTAATATTTCTGAAACACTGAAAAGGATCACTTACAGAAGACAGTTGCTCTCGAGTAGCCGTGAGAAGACCTTCGACTGTTGTAAAACGACTACATAAAGCACCTGGCCCAACCTAGAATGATGTTTGAATGGATTCGTCGTTGCATGCTGAAGAAGCATTATGGGATCACCTCGAGATCAAGCTCTGGAATACTCATTGAGCAAGTGTCCGACTTCAACACATCACGCGCCAAGTCGACGTCCTGAAAAGAGCAACCCCACAATATGTACGATAGCATTATGTTAAAATAGGCCCTAGGAAAGGAATGAAGGGCAAGAAAAAAAAACAGTCGAGCATATGGTGGAAAGCTAAAAAAGGAAATCACGACTGTGAGATGTTGGCTGAATGCTTTAAAGACAGTCGACAACCATGATCTTTGATAGCGCCTGCACTCTTCACTTCGTTTGTTTTAAGACCGCAACTGTCGCAATTCATAGCCATTATGATCACCGTTTGGAAGAATGGAATATCTTAATGATGAACTTCAACCAAACAACAGAAAAAAGACTCCGCAACACAAAAAATAAACAAGTATGTAAATGAAGATGGGGCGATAACACACTGCGCCACTAGAGTTGGCTTGGTCCAGAAAACTCCAATACCCGATTGTCTCAATAGGATGAAAAATTGACTCAAAATCGGCTTGTTCCATTTGTATGACTTATACAAATCTAGCGCTTTCTAATACGTTGAGTTGTCAGTCCAGAATACAAACCTTCTCCGATCAGATACGACGACCAAATAATTTTTTATGGAAGGAGTTACACCCAGATCACTGCATGGTCGAAATTAAACATGTCCTGATGGAAGACGTCGGTCATGAACTGAGCACAAAAATAAGAAAGTGCTTGGGTACAAAGGAAGGCGTTAATGAAGGGAAGTCCAGCAACAGAGATGCGCCGAGCATTCGACTTCTAATCGCGGCCACAGTGGTGATTGAGCACGCACCGTAACAAGAAGGGGCCCAGACGACATATAAAAAAGGGTTTTTTCCTTTCATCCGAACCCTAGAACCAATTACCTGGAGTGGTGAGAAGCTTATGGTTATTATTCAATGGACTAGAACAGGATTGAGGATTCGATTCAGGATTTTATTTCCAAACCCTATATGAAGAGTGATGATGTGCTATTTGTGCCGATAAACCATTACGAGTAAGAAGTAGAAGGATTTCACAGCACATTGTGTAGAAATCATTAGGGTGAAGTTTGAATATGTCTTATTCTGAGAAATCCATTTTGTCTAAGCCAGCTCAAATCACTCAGGGAACCCAACAATCATACTGCGCAGCTCTAGGATAGAAGGAACAAGCTGTGATTCAATGTAGAAAAATAGGAACGACCGCCAATGTTAACGCACAAGCATGAATAACGCACAAGAAAGCCCTTCCTCTAGTACTACGAGTACTGCTTTCTGAAGGAGCCGAAAGTTTTGAGTCAAATTAACATATATAGGCTAAGACTACTAAAAAGCAAAATACATTCACCTGTGGGTTTCATCAACACCTCGCACGGTGATCCACAATTTGGACACTCGGTGGGAAAGTGTAGGACTTCCCTTTTCGCATCATCAAAGGACTTCCATTCTGGAGTAGGCTCTTGTTCTTCACTAAAATCGATCCTTAATACCTTGGTGACAACGGGCGGGATCAGTCTCTGCGATGTGAGCAACTGGTACCAGTTTGTCAACAACGGTGTCCGCGATCGGCGCGATTGTTGGAAGTGCTTGAATCGCGGAAATCGCAGAAATCGTAAAGCAATGTCTACTACTGAAAAGACTCTTCGAAGACCGGTTTTTCTTACCTGACCTCGCTCCTGATGACCATATCAAATCTCGCGACTCACTCAGCCTTGACAGCAAAACTTGAACCTAACCGACCTGGTAGTCAGCTGAGTTAGGACACAGCACGGTGAGGATATGGTCTTTCTTCGAGCAGTAGTTAGGTCTCGGTCACGGTGGCTCTTTGCGATTGCCAGCAATTCAGCAAATCGCGAGAGTAGGAAGTGGCGGACGCAGGTGCCGGGGAGGGGTGCCAGACGCTCAATAGCAACTAACTATGGCGCAACGCGGCGCATGCGGATCGACTTGTGAACGTCCACGTGATGCGCGAACCGCTTACGGGTCACAACTGAATACCATTGTTTTCCACGCCTTATGATGTTCAGTAGCTGTTTCGGTGGGTCACATTACTATAAGTATGCAAAAAGTTACAAAACTATAACATTGTTTTATGCATCACATTGTTGGAAAGGCCCTTTTTCTATCATCATTTACATGTACACATGTACATAAAAAGAGTAGTGGAATGTAGAAAAGAGCAGTAAATTTTTTATCTGCCTAAATAACTTAGCAATATTTGAATCCACTAGATAGCAGTAAGTAGAATTTGGTTTTCGTGCCAGAACAGTCTTTTCGCCTCATTTACATGGCGTTGTGGAATTACTTTATGCCATCTTAAAGGGTTGAATATTGTATGCAATCAAGAACGGCAATCGGGAGTGTATTAGCACGCGCAAAGCTGTGAGTCTAAGAGTACAGTATAGAGAGTGAGGCGCGCACGCGCGCAGAATCGCGACCGTCACTAAGAGGCTATAATGCGGAAAACGCGCTCCTTCACTTTATAAAACAGTATCATTCTCTCTACGGATTATCTTTTCGTTGATGCGCTAGCAGAATGTTAATCACAAAGTGGGTCAAAAAACATATCATAGTCGAAACGAAAGTAATTGCTAGGATTCGACACTCATCTTCAAAATCTATTTTTCTAATTGAAATATACCGATCATAATGCCACAAGTATACTACGTCGCATGGGCGCAATGGAACAAGTAGCATTTCTCCAAATTCCGGAAGAGTTTTCGAGTCGAGAGGTCCGCTTGGAACTCTTGCAAGTTTGTCTATTTTTATCTTTAAAGAGAAGCCAGTGAGAACGGAACAGATGGTCAGTTTGCATCGTAGTGAAGATCTGGCGAATATGGAAGATGATAGGTGCAACACGTAAAATTCAGTTTCGCAATATGTCATGGGTTAACTCTGTGCAAATGCGGTTCGGCCGTGTCATGAGAGAAGACTTTTACGTTCAGCTTTCGGTGCGAAGTTTCGAAATTCAACTGCGAGCCTTCGACTATTGTGAGCAGTACACCTCAGCGTCGACGGTGGTATTGTCTGGCATCTCGTAATGACGTGTTCCCCGAACACTCCACCAAACTGACAGAAGAACCTTCTTGGGATGAACTCCTGCTTTGGAACAGGCTCTGGCTTCTGGTTCGCATCCATCACTTCTTTCTCTGGTATGATATAGGTAGAGCCCCCACCTTTCATCTCCAGTAATTACATTATCCAGCCAGTCGAAACGGCGACTCCTTGCAAGAAAACCTCTGCACACCCCGATACCTCTTTTCTTGCAATGCTCTGTCAGCTCATGAGGGATCAATCGACCAAGTTTCTCAACTTTTTCCAGCTTGTGATGAACACGACCTGTGGCCATGTTGAAGCACTGCATCTCCTTTGCCAGCTCCTTGGCGCTTGCATGCGGAAAGTCTTGAAGTAACAGCTCCAAACGTTCGAAATTAACTTTCGTTGGGCGTCCATCTTCGAGGTTGTAGTTTCCTTCGCGGAGCCTTCTGAACCAAAGTTGGCAGGTTTTTTCACTTACCACTCCCTCTACTTCCACAGAGCATATTTTGCGGCAGGCTTCGCTCGCTGTGTGTCCCAGACAAAATTCGCAAAGAAGTCAGTGGCGTACATGGGTAGAAACATATGGCATTTTCCAGGCTCCAAAAGCGTGCAGGAGGTGAGACTCGAGAATATGAAGGAATATCACCACCTGTATATGGTTAAAAATTTCCCCTCCAGGTTAATGCGCAGCCGTTTGTCAGGACTTTGAAAAATTCCGCAAGGATTTCGTTGCGACTAACAGTTTTCAAGCGCGCAGGATTGAACCATGAGCATCGCGCTGCTTTAATTCTCAAAATTCAGCTGTTAAAGTTGAAAGAAGTAATTGGCATTATCTAAAGGGTTTAGGGTAGTGAATCTTGAATCGCTTACACATTATCGTCAGCCAATCCTAAGAGTTTCCGCTCCTCTAGGCTACGATGATAGTGAGAGACAATACACCGCGGATCAACGTGTCGTGGATCAGGATTTTGAATGAAGCAGTTTCCCGTAGGATCGTGGAGCTTCTAAACACAAAATGGCAGAGAATCTCAATCTTCAGAGTATGAGCCGCATTCACATTTTACTAAATGAAAAATGTACCAGAGTCCATGCTTTGGTTAGGTTTAAGCATTCCCGTAAATTGGCAAGAAAGTCGTCGATTTTGGTAGCACTTTCAGGATCTAGTTCTCGCCTTCTGTCTTGTTCTTGTGAGAGACCGGCACCAACCCTCTCCAATACTCCCTCAATAGTGGTAATCTCTGAAAACGGGAACTCTTTCACATATACAGGATGCATGAGAGCAGTGCTTTGAACGTTTAAGAATGAACACCTCCTGGACGAGTTTTAGCAGGTATCACAAGCTCTAGCTCTGGCACTTCGATTGTCGCATACTCCGATCTCACCATTTGCCGCCGAAGATCCACCTCCTCCTGTACCCGTAACACAATTTCAGTACCATGCTCCTAAAGAGAAAAAAAGTTTCACACAACAAATTAAAGCAACAAGGAAGCTTAAGAAAAAGGAATGAATAAGAATAAAGGCAAATAAAAAAAAGAGAATATGTATATCTCGCCGAGTCCCAAGAAATGTCTTAATTTGCTATTTGCACTTGACAAAGCAAAGCAAGAAATGCAAACTAA